AAAGTCAAGCTCGCAACCAAAGGTGCTGCTCTTTTCCATGAAGGGGAGTTGCTCCAGCACTGCATTTTCGAACTTTTTTTTTTCCACGAGTACGGACGTTTTCTTCGTTTGCATATTGCTCGAAATTGTGCGCACCTGCAAAAGCGCATGGCGGCTTTTGGGCTGGCGGTTGTTTTTTGTTGTTGGGTTGTCTTTGTCCTTTTCTTCACCATCTGACTGTTTTTCCCTTCCTTCAATGATGACCTGGGCACCACAGCAAAACATGGCGAAGGACATATGCCCTTGACAAATGTGGCAACTCGACCAGTCCGAATGGCTCCGATTTTTGCGGGCTGAGGCCAATGATTTGTGGAGAAGACTTTCTAGAACCTGCACCAAAGGCCAGCAATGCCTTTCGCAGCGGGAATGGTGTATAAGCACACCGCCAGGAAGCTACAGCAAGTTAAAAGTGCAAACACCAGGGTCGCCAATCTCTTTTCGCCATTCACAACACAGTGAGCCAACAGGAATGAGAGCCTTAGCTCCTCGTTTCGCAACAGAACAATTTTTGCAATGACGCAGCATTTCTCGAAGTTAGAAGACACCCCGTTTTGGCACCTCTGTGTGCCGAAGGGTGCCGAGATGACCTCGCTTCGGGGGGATGAGCCTTTCGCATCCTTACCTGCAGGCTTTCGTCGTTTGCTATGGCCGCCTGTCTGAACACCACCAACTATGCCTCTTGACTTGTGTGTGCAATCAGTTGCATGGCTTGTGCTGCAAGAAAGGTATTTTCCACTGCACAGCAACCACTGATCCACTTTGATATGGACATAACTTGAGTTCACACCAATGCCCCGGACTTGCGTCGTGACCATGTTTTGCTGTGCAGTGGCCGCTGGTTACTGGTAATTGTGATGTGAAGTCCATTTGACGACTTTTTTGAAGACTTTGCTGGAGCACAAAACCTCGCCGCTGCTCTTTCGTGAATTCGGGCCCATTGATGGAAAGACTGCAGGATGGTGGAGACTCGACCTGTGAAGCAGGAATGGAAGCCTCCTAGAGAGGCACACTTGAGGAAGGCTTCTTGCACCGTGACCCTCAGTTTGGGACGGATCAACAGTTTGAGCTTGTTGGCGGCTTGCACAGGTGAGCCTATCCTGTTGAAGTCTGTCGGCAAGGCAAGTGCGACAATATCCGCCTCCAGAAAGCAGCAGTCCGGCAGCCAAGACTCCGCCAGGCAGCCTCGCCAATGATGCGAATAAGCCCGCACTGTTGGATGGGACCTGAATGGCTTTGACCCTGCTCTTCAGCTGCCCTTTGCTTCAATTCTAGAAAATTGAGTGTGACCCCACAAATCTGACCAGATGCTTGCCTGAGCGCTGTTTCTTGGAGGCTGGAATCGTCTCGCGCTCTCTACCACCAGACTTCACCTTTGCACACTGTTTGCGTTTACAACAGCTCAGTCTTTCCAGCAAGTTACTGAGGATGGGATGAGAAGCGTTTCTCAAATGCGCTTCGCTACGAGAGGTGCGCACCCCGCCAACCTTGCTGTATATTGCTCGACGAGCCTTTGCAGGCTGCGTGCAACTTTGCACATTCCACAAAACCGGAAAAAGCACGACTTGGAGGGGGCCATACGCTGAGGCTAATGCCTTTGACAAATGTGGACAATTGGACACACCGAAGTGGATTCACTTCCTTCCGCCAAACACCAATAGCGGTTGTGACATGTGGGCTGATGACTTCTATGAGGAACTGCGCAAGGACCTACATTAGCTTTGCTTGTACAAGGACACTGAGTGGCTAGACAGTGCCCAGGCTGCCACCCTAGTGGTAGTCCTGGATGAGTACAGAATGTACAGCCTGTACAGCACACAACATAGGACAACGGTGTTTCACTTTGTTTCACGTAGTTCAAGGGGCCTGCCCGTTTCATGAATGCGCATGATTGCGCATAGGAGGCGCACTTGCAAGGCGCCAATCGACTCCCATTACGATAGCGCCAGTCGACTGCCCAACTCGGCTCTTGGTGAGCTGTGAAAACAATCTGCCTTTCTGTGACTCCCTGTGGCAAAGCTGTTTTTGGAGTCACCGTCGTGGAAGGGCGCCTCTGCTGCTCCCCCCTCCCTCTGGGGGGGGGGGGATTTTTGCCGGCTTTCGCCATGCTTGCTTGCACCTCCATTCTCTCGACTACATGGCTCCGCTGGCTCTTCCTTTTCGACGATTTGTAGTTTTCGATTGCTGATCCAGCTGTTTTCCCTGAGTCGGAATGTCTCGGATGGTCCATATCTCTCTGGGACTTTTGTGAGCATGACAGCGGAATGCTGCTGCCTTTGATTGCCTTCCATGCCAATGCAACATTGATCTTGCAGTCTCTCCGACTGTGCAACATGGCCCCCGTTTGAAGCAAGGTGGGCAGTTTCATTGCCCTCGCCCTCGTATCAAGAATGCAGATGATTTTGCCAGTCACAGGGCAGTGATTTTACTTTGATGGTAAACGAAGCGCAAGAACCTGATGATGACGTACTGAGCGCAAGGGAAGAATTCATTGCCCCAGGCCACATCCTGTTTCACCGCTCTGGGCTGACTCAGCCATCCTGAGATACGAACCTTGCCAGCGCTTTGGTGGTGTGTTTTGTTGTTTCTTTGTTGCTGTGTTTTGGGTTCTTTTTTGGTTGTTTTGGCTTCGGTTTGCTGGCCGGTTCGCTTCTCTTTCTTTACTAGCCTAAGGTGATTTGTGCATCATCTGCACACATAGCGCCTCGACTCGTGCAAAAAAACATTGACCATTGACCACCTGCAGGAGGATGTTTGAAGTGGCAACTTGTGGCTAGGAACAGCTTAGAGAACCTTTTGGTAGAGCGCGAGGTCTTTGGAGACTGTTTGAGATAGTTCCTTGTAGTTTTGTTCAGATTTGAGATGACTACTCTTTTAAGAAGAGTGGACAAGCTTAAGAGAAACTTTGAGAACGTTTGAGACAGTCTACTTGGACTGTGACTTTGGCTCAAGGAGCGGGATCGAAAAAGGAAGCTTGCGCTACTGTGTTTTCACAGGGGTCCACGGAAACCGTTTTGTCGCAAATTTTTGTCACCCGGCGAACAGTGGCACAAGTTTCGATCGTTTCTGCAGGCACGCGGTAGAAGCTTTTCCAACCGCTGGCCGCTGGGTTTCCACGGCTTTGCAGCGCCGCAAGCACTTGTTCTCCACCCGCAAGTCCAATTTGGGAAAAAACGTGCGATTTTGCAAGAGGGACGTTTGCTGTCATTCCACCACCAGAATGCTTGTTAAAGCCGCAACTAACATATCGCATTGGGGTCATCTGAGCCATCACCAAATGCTTGACACGTTTGCCTCACTGAGGCGGAATCTAATGCAACCAAAACCAAGTTTTTCGCTGGGCATGAGAGCAGTGATGCGGTCTCAAAGGTCGTTGTTGCAACAACGGGAATGATCTGGATTCCTGCAAAATGGAGGCCATTCACTCAGTCTCAATTTGATTTGCTTGTGTCCGGGCGACTTCGCCCCCGTTTTGGGGGTCCGTTTTTGGACTCCAAAACGGGGGTCGTTTTGTCAGCAAAATTTTTGCCGCCGCGCGAAAGAAAATTTCCATTGTCTCCGCGGCTGGTGGAGTTCCTCCTGTGACTGAACAACCCGCCAATGGGAGCAAGGATGCTGGGGGCGCTTCTGGCCTTGCTACGGACAAGAAGCTGCTGGGAACAAAGAGTATTGCCACCAGTATTGCTGAGGTGACGGTCAGACGGTCATGCAAAAGCAGTGGCAGACGGTCGCTTGCATCAGCTTGCTTTGTTGTTCTAACTTTGCTGGCAAGTCGTGCATTGTGCTCGGCTGGCCTTGGTTGTTTGTTTGGCTTGGCGATTTGCGCACCCTGCTTAGTAGACCTTGATCGCTGGCTCGACTTGTCAAGTCTGAGATGGACTTTGCCCTTCTGGCAAGTTAGGATCTAATGTGCTTGAGGGGGGTTGGAAACTTAAATTTTGTTCAAAGTTCTACACAGTGGCCGGAGTGCTACCGGCTTGACCATTTCGGTTTTAAAAGTTTCGGTCTGCCGGCGATCCCGGACATTCTTTACATTGCTTTGCAACATCTTGCAAAAAACTTCGCCGCAGGCTCCCTTGATCCCTTCTATGCACAACGCACTTTGACTTCACGTGTGGATGCGGTGTTCGAAAGAGGGAAACGCCGTTTCTGTGCAAGGTAAAGGTACGTTTTTTTTGCAAGGATGAGATGTGCAAATAGTTTTTTGTAGTGGCAGGTCCACAACCAATATTTATATCTGCAACGCAGAACACACAAAACGGGCGACTTTGGGGGGTTGCAAGAGCCTCTATTCAGTGTTTTTTTTCTGGTTTTGAACCCTTTGTGTTCGTGCAACTCCTTGCATCAACTTGAATTTTGCGTTCACCGTCGCGGAATTGGAGGAACTTGGACTGAAACAAACATGCACTGTGTTGGTCCTCCAATAGGGGTAGCTTTTCTCCCCAGCCTTTGACCGTTAAAAACAAGTCATGAACTTGTTACTTTTTTCGACACCCCATGTTTGGACGCAATCACATGTTTCTTTGGCAAAATACAGCAACACTGCAAAACACATTGGAATGTTCACAATTTTTCCCTGTACGTTCCGAACAGAAACGGTGGGCTGTGCTCCGAAACCCTTTGTCAGAGTGGCATGCGTCTTGATGCTGATACGTTTGACGGATCTCAAATTCATGATTTGTCTTAAATGATACATGATCTCCAGTCGTGAGGAATTCTTTGCAAGATTTGACAATCTTTTTCGGGGTTTAAAACACAGACACAAGACCATTTTGTCAATCTGATGCCGCTGGCGGATTTATGCACATTTAAACAGGTTTTGTGGCCATTTCACTTAGTTGACAATGTGTTTGTTTTGGGTGAGCTTGCATGTGGCACACTACCTTTGTATTAAGTGGTGCAAACCCATTGATACTTTTGGTAAAGACATTTAAGATCAGTTGCAAAGGCACTGCTGGAAATTGTACGAACTCGACGTGCAAAATAAGTCATAGCATGGCGCAGCAGTCGGTTTTGCTGTTGCGGCTGCTTGCAGAGGTTCCTCAGTGGTTTTGAGCATGTTTGTTCCACAAAATTCTGTATAGCGGGGACAATATTGTTGATTCTGGAACTGTGACAAGTCCTGCAATGGTTGGGGTCTCTTGTTGAGAGACGCTTGAATCTATGCAATTTGGTTGACATGAGGGCCTTTGTCTCCCGGTGGCTTTGTTGCGGCCCTCACTTAGATGGAGCTCCTTGGCCAGACCCTTTTTCAGAAACGAAAGACTGACTGCCAGGCAGCAGAACTTGTGACTTGTGCTACTCGTGTCGTTTTTGTTAATCTTTTTGATCAAAAGTAAAAACAAGACCCTGCCGCCAAACTTCAAAGGACCTGGACCTGGGATGCCACTCCAGCTCTATGTGAAGGTGTCGGGAAAGGCCAAGGATTTAAGGGTCGTTTCGATGGCCTCCAACCTAATAGGAAAAGGAACCTAATAGCCATGGCCTCCAACCAAATAGCAAAAAGAACCTAATAGCGATGGCCTCCAACCTACTAGCAAAAGGAACCAACTTAATAGGAAAAGACACCTAATTGTGATGGCCTCCAACCTAAGAGCGATGGCCTCCAACCTAATAGCAAAAAGAAACTAATAACGACGGCCTCCAACCCAATAGCAAGAGGCACCTAATAGTGATGGCCTCCAACCTAAGACTTCTTCGTGCTTTTGTTCTCCATGTTTTTTTCCTTTTGCTGATCTTCATGTGCTTTTGCAAGATGACTATTGTTGGATGTGCATTTGATTAAGTATGAACCCAGGCTGCTGGAGGGTGCTGTTTTCGTGCTTGTGAGTGGTGTCAACTTTTTTTTGAAGCTGTGTCACGGGGTTGCTGATCGTCGAATTCCAGAATTTAATTTGAACTCTTTCACTCTTTCTTTTACGACTACCGACACATTCCGATGCATTCTTGAATCGTTCCGTTTTTGTCTCGGGTCGTCTCAAGTCCGAAGAGGAAGATGTGATCGTGGCCTTGGAGCTCCTAGAGGCTAAGAGAAGCGAATCAAGGGCATTGCTACTAGTAAAAAGGGCATCGCTACTAGGAGCAAGGACGCTACTAGGGTTCCTGGCCGTACTACTAGGAACAAGAAGCTACTAGTAACAAGGGCATTGCTACGTTCGTAGCTTCTAGCTACTAGCTACTTGTAGTAATGCCCTTGTTACTAGTAGCGATGCCTTGAATTCTTACTTATACCGTGTCGTGGCCTTGTTCATGTAAAATGTTCTTCGGAATCATTAGCCTGCCGACCCGGCTGACGACATGTCCTCAGGCTGGCTGGAGCTTGGAAGACCGAACCCCGGACCAATTAGATTCTCTCCAAGTCTTCACGAGGCCGCTCCCGCGACACGTTCGTGTCATCCGATGTGACAGACGTGTCACGACAGGATGTGTCACAGTACGTGCAGATGCCATGCCTTCAGGGAAGTCTTGGAGTTGCTGTCCCTTGAAGATGAGCTGCTCTTGGCACCCTTGCGAGAGGCATGGAAAGGTTCAGATACTGTCAGATATCAAAAGCGGAAGACATGATAAAGCCGAATGTCATTGCAATAGGAGCCTGAGCCTTTTGCTTCGAGATGGATGGACACCTTTTTCAGGAATTTCGCATGTCTTTGCTCATCCTTTGTGGGGAGCCTTTGTGTAATGTTTATGGATTCTGCATGTCTGCGCAAGCTGCAAGCAAAGCTGCACGCATTTCATGTGGTCCACAGGATTGGCAGGATCCAGCCATGGAGGCTGGGTTTCCCATGGTTTCCCTCTCTTTGTGCTGTCGAAGCAGACTTCTACGATTACGCTTACTTTAGGTCGTCCTCTTATGCGCCATCCTTTTGTGGCGAAAGCATAGTTTTTTGGTGTTTTCTCAAAGTTGCGAGGCCATTGACTGGCCTTTGATTGAGGCCATGCGCTGTCGTTGGGACCCTTAGATCAAGAAGCAAGGCATCAACGTGGAAGGAAAGAAAGACTGCAGAGTTTTAGCCTGAAAGGTCCAAGCCGTGTTTTGTTAGAAGAGGTAGTGACCTCAAAGGCAAATGGTTTTGTAACATGGTGCAAGGATTCCCCCTGAATTGCGAGGGCTCTTCCACCTGGGTCTTAGAAGCCATGTGCTACCCTTTGTGACCCTCCCAGAATCTTGGCAAGGTCTCTGGTTTTCTCGATTTTAGCCTTTTTTTTGAGACATGTTTTCACCTCCTCCTTCAGCATTTCTCAAGCCAGCAAGATGGAAGGCTTTGCGCATTTGCCCGAGATCCGAACTATAAAGCCACAACTGCCAGAAGACCATGGCACCTTGGGCACAACGTATATGGGCATGCAATGCAGCGTATATTTTAAAAAAGCGGCTAGCATACTGCTTCTTCTGTTGAAACAGATGGCAGTGGCCTCCTCATACTTGTCCATTATTTTCTTCAGGTTTTGTTACCCTGAGATAGAAAGGTCCCAGCTCTCAACATCCATCTTGCCAATCAGAAACAAACATTCTGGTGGTATTAGTATCAGACGCTTGAATGCGATGTAGCAGGGCAGGGCCGTCATCCGCTTGTGCGGCTGGGAAACTGCTGAAGTCCCGTATGACACCTGCATCCTTCTTTTTTCACTTCCCGCTCTCGAGACTCACGGGCATTGCTTGTAGTAACAAGGGCATCGGTTCTAGTAACAAGGGCATTACTAACAGTAGCTAGAAGCTACGAGTAGCTCCTGGCATTTCTACTAGGAGCAAGGACGCTACTAGGGGCTTTTGGCCTTACTAATAGTAGCTAGAAGCTACTAGTGGCCATCGCTAGGTTGGAGGCGTCATGAGGTTTCCTTTTCTCTCCCACCGCGGCCAAGATCCGATTGACACGCGACCATTTCATTTGTCGACCAATTCGCTTAACTTGGCGACCACACAGCGGCTGCGCTGGCTGTAGACTATTGAATAAACACGCCGAACGAGGGAAAGTTCCCATAAACCTCAGATTTTTTTGACAATAAGAGACCTTCAGACTTGTATTTATTTTCTCTCTTCTTGTTAGCTTCTTTTTCTTTTTCGCTTCTTTTCTCTCTCCTTACTTCCAGAAGGCTTGAGGTTTTTGACAACAAGACATTTCTCTTTCTTTCACACAGCGTGTGTTCCCGGCCTCAAAAGGCGTTTGGAGGCCATCTCTAAATCCTCTAGTCTTTCAGCTTTTTACTTTTTACATTTGGACCTGTGAAACTCAATTAGCGCCTTGCGATTCAGGCGAACCCAGTGAGCTCAATCCACCAAATTCCATGCTTCTTGCTGGACGACAATCTACCAAAGACCTTGAAGGCCATCACAGCAGAATCTGGTTTGGATGCGGTTCATGTTGTTCGTGGATTTTGCAAAACCTGCGCCCTTCATTAACAGCAACTTATTTCGGAGCTATCAGGAAGGAGGCCATCGGTAGTAGGTTGGAGGCCATCGCCAGTAAGCTGGAGGCCATTCCTATGAGGTTCCTTATGCTATTACAGTATATTTGTTTTTGTCGGCTCTGACTGGATCATGCTGTAATGAGCCCACACTTCTCAGCAAAGGCGAAATGGAACCTGCGGCTGTTGCTTCGCAGAAGTTTCGTTCCTTGATGCAGCAACTCCTTCACCAACATCTTGAAGAGGCAGGGTATTTGACCCAAGAGGACAGCCAGATAGCTCAGAACCGCCCTTGTAGGTTGAAGGCCATCACTCTTAGGTTGGAGGCCTGGAGGCCATCAGTAGGTTAAAGGCCATCGCTCTTAGGTTGGAGGCCTGGAGGCCATCGCTAGTAGGTTGAAGGCCATCACTCTTAGGTTGGAGGCCTGGAGGCCATCAGTAGGTTGAAGGCCATCGCTCTTAGGTTGGAGGCCTGGAGGCCATCGCTAGTAGGTTGAAGGCCATCACTCTTAGGTTGGAGGCCTGGAGGCCATCGCTAGTAGGTTGAAGGCCATCACTGGTTGGAGGTCTGGAGGCCATCGCTAGTAGGTTGAAGGCCATCACTGGTTGGAGGCCTGGAGGCCATCGCTAGTAGGTTGAAGGCCATCACTCTTAGGTTGGAGGTCTGGAGGCCATCGCTAGTAGGTTGAAGGCCATCACTCTTAGGTTGGA